ATATATATATATATAAATATATAGAGGAGAAATTATTGTTGAGTGATATCTATAAGCCACTTTCCCCCCGTTATCATCAGGTTGTTGCCTCTGTTGTTCCTCAAGATGAGTTCTCTGGATTTGCCCCATTGCAGCCTCAGGTGACACGCTGGCTTTTATTGGCTATAAAAACTTTACAGTTTGATGATAGACTGAACCTTTACATACCCCTGTGTGTTGCCATGTCTGTGATGGACTGTGGTTTTTTTTTTAATTTGATAGGTGCAAGATGGTCCAACTCGTCCAAAAGAGCCTGAGGTTCTGAGGTATGATAGTCACTTTGGATCCATGCCGATTTGAAACTCTTTAAACAGAAATGATTTTAGTATTTAATGATGTTGTAGGTGGCAAGTTTTTGTGATATGTGGATTCGCCACTATACATGTTTACAACGTACAAATACAAAATGTGGGAAAGCATGAGACATATCTATGAAACTGTGCTTTCCACAAAGAGAAAAATGGGACTCAGAGTGTAGGTTTAATAATTAAAACCTGAAAATAGAAATGTACCGTTACACAGAATAGTGGCAACTTTAACCTTTGTGTCTTATGTCTCTTCAATTTCACTTCAATTCCATTCAGTTTTACACAACAACAGTCACCTCAATGTGTTTTATATTGTAAGGTAGACCCTACAACAATACATACAGAGAAAAACCCAACAATCATATGACCCCCTATGAACAAGCACTCTGGCGACAGTGGGAAGGAAAAACTCCCTTTTAACTGGAAGAAACCTCCGGCAGAACCAGGCTCAGGGAGGGGCGGGGTGAGAGAAGGAAGACAGGATAAAAGACGTGCTGTGGAAGAGAGCCAGAGATTCATAACAAGTATGATTCAGTGCAGAGAGGTGCATTAACACATAGTTAGTGAGAAGAAGAAATACTCAATGCATCATGGGAATCCCCCAGCAGCCTACACCTATTGCAGCAAAACTAAGGGAGGATTCACTCTTGATGCTATGTGGACATTTCTTGTGTTTACAGGGTGTTGGAAGGAGAACCGCACACTGTGCTCTTTGAGTTTATTCCTGAGACCAGTGATGAGCTGGCTGTAGTGCCGGGCAATATTGTGTTTGTGTTGCAGAAGGGTGCTGACAACTGGGCAAATGTGGTCTTCAATGAAAGAGTAAGATCTCCACATCTGCCACTTATTGTACAAATTTTAACACCAGTACACTGTGTTGTTTTTATGCACTAAAGCCAGCATTCATATCATGTACTTTTATCACACAATTAATGCATTGCTGGTGTCTGCTGAGAGTAAACATGGCTGTGATGTCTTTCACAGAGGGGGCTTGTTCCTTACAACTATCTGGAACGTTTGGAAATCTCCTTAGCTTCTAACAAAAACAAGGTAAGCATTTATTTGTCATTATTCTCAATTGTTGGTGTCATAATCAATGACTCTGGTAATGTCAGCGCTTAAAACATTGTAGTTTCCTTTCCAAGCTTTTAAAATAACACAGTCTTTACTTTTCTTTATTTTGAATGGGAACAACTATAAACAGGGAATAACTCCGCCTCCAAGCCGACAGCCACCCACCAGACCTGAAAGGATACAAGGTTGGCTTTTCTGGTACAGGATACAAAAATTAAATGAGGATTTTCGAATGATATCTGAGCCTTATGTGAAAAATCTAATTTTCCATATTTTCTTTATGTAAGGTCTTACTCCAAGTGAAGTCACTAGTGGAAATCGTCAGCGACAGGTATGCCAACGCAAAGAAAATGAGAAGTACTGAGATGTTTAATTCTGGCTGTTATTTTAAGTTCTTTTATTTCCTCTCATCATTTCCAGGAAAAACAGTCCACAGACAATTCATGTATCGTCAAAGTGCATTTCAATTTCAACTTTGTCGTCTCAGTCCCGTGTGGGTCACCCTACACGATGCTGATTGGGAAAATCAGCAGGAAACTGAATCTTCCTTCTTCTGCAATCACCTTGAGGTAGAGTGCATAATTAAGAAAACAAGAATGTTTGGTATGCATTGTTTGTACTTACAACTGAATACCTTTACTGGGTTTAGTTTAACCTCTGAGGCAAGTGAACAAAGTGTAATCAGTGCCAACACAGAAATGGAGGAGCTGTGGAGCCGTGCCAGCGGTGGGCGTGTCACTTTGTGGTGTAACACCAAGGAGGTAAGAGAGCAACCATCTATTGCCATGTTATTGCTGTTGTTATAGTAACAACAGCAATATTCCCAGTATTAGCGATACTGATGTACTTTTAGTATCTTTTTGTTTTTGCACTGATAACCATTGTGGATCTTTGGGGATTTCAGGAGGAGATTCACCTGGTGGCACTTCACTCCTACGAGTCATCAAATCCCGAGGATCTGAATTTTCAGCAAGGGGATAAAATCAAACTGCTCTCTAAAAGTGAAGCTTCATTCTTTTATACATCAAACATACAGAAACTCTACAATTTGATGGAATATATGATTCTAATTCACAATTTGTTCATCTTCAGTTAACCAAGACTGGTTGGAAGGGCAGTGTAACGGGAATACTGGGATATTCCCTGCATCCTTTGTGGAAGAAGTTCCTGCGAATGGCCAGTGATTTATGGCCAGGTTTGCTAATCTGTTATAAAAGCTGAAAACACTGATTAACAACTTTTCAAAAGTTGTCTGCTTTGGTGATAAAATGTGCCACTTCTTTTGATATACCAAGTCCAAATATGATTATTACAATAGCTGATTATAAATGCTTAAAATGTTACATTTTCCACTTATGTACATTATTTAAATGACTTTTAGTCAAAAATTTTAAGTCTGTATCTTTGCATTTATGTGGCTTCATATGAATTTCACCTTTCTTCATTATGTAACAATTTAAAAAGAGCACTATATAAAGACTTACTATCAAACTTTATATTAGAAAAACATAAAAAACAGGACTGCATTTATTTTGAGGTCATCCTGACAGGCCTGGTCCAGATATCACAGGTATGTAGGATGTTGCAGCATGGAGTGAGTTTCATTAATTCTCCAGAACATTATGTGTACAATGTTGTGCAAAAGTCTTAAGACACCCCTTATTTTTTCTAAGGAGCCAGACTTTCTTGTAATTTCTTAAAGGGGTCTTAAGCAATAATTCTTCATTTTCCTAGTAAAATACAGAAATGAGGGGCGGCTCCACACTTTTGCACAACACTCTTATTTAACAATGTAAAGCAAATAAACACATGAAATGCAAAGGTTAATATGCATTTTACTTATTTTGCTAAAGAAAATGAAAAATATGAACTGTGGGATATTTTAATACGTTCAGCAAATTGTTTTCTTTTCTTTGCAGTGTTACAATTTCCTTCTGCTATAAAGCTCAAACCCAGGGTCAGCGTAGAGGTCATAAGATTTGAAAAGTGCATTTTTATACTTAATACATTTCCACTTCATACAAGGCCAATTTCCTCCAAGTTGCGTGAATAATTTAAGATGAGTGGTCATCTGACACTTGGGCTATTTTTTTCTAACACTCAGAGTTCAAAATACATTTCAGTCATTTCCTGGTTCAGAGTAACAACCTTTGGTCTGGTTATGATGTCATAATACTGTAATCACTGAATCACAGATTCCTATAATTTAAGTAATGCAGTATTAAAACTACCACCGCCTGGTACTGATGTTAATAAAAAACATTTAATAATCACTTTCTTCTTCCAGTAAATACAGCTTATATGCTATACATTTGGTACATTGATAGGTTATTTATTAATTTACCAAAGACATTGTGGATTATTGGTAAAAATGATCACGACGATGTTCCTTCCTCCTCGTAGGCTATAGCTATGCCTCTCCTGCCCTCTACTGCTTTCACCACAGGTGTCTCTCCCAGCTTCTGCTCTAAACCGATCCAGCTTCGACCTGCAAGAAAAGATGCTGGAAAAAAAAAATAAATAAAATGAATAAATAAAGACTTGTGGTGTAATACAACATATTCATAAGTGTCTACTTTTGTATAGGAATTCACGCATGTTGATTAGGTGGAGCACACTGTCATACCAGCTGAGTTTGTGTTTGCTACGGTCAGCGTCTGGTTCCTCAAGACCACAGAGGACCCATAGGCCGGCTCTGTAGGCTCACTGCTCAGGAGATTGTGGCTTCGCAGAGCACCAGTGATTAATGAAACGTCACTTTCATCCTCCTCGTCCTGCTGATCAGCCAAAGGTACGTGACTCTGTCCACCTACAGCAAGTTTGGGAAGAAAAAGGTTAGACGTGGCAAAATGAAACTACATTACACTACTGATAACAGACATATAGAAACATTTCCTGAAAGGTAATGGCCGCATGTTTGATTTTGCAGATTTGCGTCTACTCTCTAGATTAAACCTGGGCTCTTTTGCTTGTTTGGAGAACACGTAAACCACTACACTACGAAGCCATATAGACAACACCATTAACATCCTTAACATTAATACAGAACTTTAAGAGAGTTCATTTAAGAAAAGCTGATGTGAAAAACTCCCAATCGCACCTGGCAGGAGATGTCGGAAGTCTGTGACATATTCCTCTGACCATTCCCTCTTCCTGTTGCAGGCCACCTCCATCTCAAACGGCGTCACTACAGGTTTTAAAAACCCCCTTGAGTCCAAAAGTGAGCTCTCTGGACATGCAATTAAAACAAAGATGTCAATTTCAAGAAAGTTTGCCAGTTTGGGTACGTTCAGCTTCCCCATGGCAAACATGTAGCTCTTCTTGCCAGCTCTCTTGATGGTCTCTTTCAGCTGCTCAATGATAGAGAGGTAATCGGCAACCCCCAGAGTCCCAACCAGGATGCCGACCACATTGGCATCCTTGGCCCTTTCTATAGCATAGTATCTCTTCATCAGAGCGCGGCTGATGCTTATAGACTCGACCTGCCCCTTCGCTGTCACAGGGTCAAAAGAGCAAAACGAGCACCGATTCCAAGTCATCATGAAGTTTCGCAGGGTCGCTCCCTCCTGGCCCACATAAAACATACTGCAGTCCATGACCCTTAAACGGCTTTTCAAGGTGAACTGACGTCCAAACTGATAGATGACCTGGCCATCGTCTTGGTCAGAGAGACGGGCGTCATCATCTTGTCTTTTAATCTGCCCATGACTGTAACACTGCTCCCCTTCAACAACAATTTCAGATGCAACAAGGTTTGGATACTCTGGTGACAGTAGAGCCAAAAGACCATCTGAGGGAGGAAAAAAAATAAAAATGTATACTGGTAAATATCTGTGGACAGATGGGACTGATCGAAACACAAAAATCTGTGTTGAGACATAGTAATTCGAAGGATCACACAAACTTTTCAAGGTGACTGCGAACTTACTAATGGCATGAGCATAGTTGACATCATAGAGGATGATTATGTGACTGTGTCTGTCAGGGTAGAGTTCTCTGAAGGAGGAGGCACACTTCTCCACATCTACTGCTCTTTGCTCAAAGATGTATAACAAGGGCAGCCTTCTGGATGGGCTAAGGCAAGCACTGCCATAGTGCACAATGCAGTCAGCGCCAACGTGTTCTGCAGCGACCTCATCCACACAGCAACTGCACATGAGAGTTCAACAAAAGTGTTAAATAAGTTAACACCCTTACTAGATGAGGAATTTCCTTGCACACTGTTTTATATAACACCGAATGCTTCTTTTATATCAAAATAAAACTCCCAGTAAATATTCTCATGTACTTGATTTTGATTTTGAATTCAAAGTCTGACAGGTCTGGAGATGTTGACAAGTTTTTGTCAAAAATATCAGTGAATGCAACCTGCCACCAATTTTAAAACCCAACTTTACTTGATGACTCAAAACCATTAAAAAAAAAAAACAGTGTTGCATGAGTGCATTACAGCAATGATTTCTTAAATCTACTGTGTTACCTTCCATAGGATGTATCACCCAAAATGTATGACTTGGCATTAGTGTTTCTCTCGATCTCTTCTGCCACTGCAACTGAATCCACCAACAGCTCATCGGGAAACTGCAGAGCTACCTGCACACACGGCAACCAATGTAATAATAATTAATAAATAAAGTATAAATTAGGCACTGTTTTATATTTTTAAACTGCAGTTGCTTTTAATTAAAACAAGACATATTAAGAATATTTGGCTACTAGGCCATAAATGCTTTTGTAAACAAAGGTGAGTGACATCTAAGAAAGTAAAATGTTGCTCCTCCTTACCTTTTCAAACTGATGCTCACTGATGAAGTCGCAGGTTTTTTTAATCTGATATAACTTTTCCAGGTCATCTGCAGGTGTGCTCGTCTTCACTGCAACTCCCACCACACGCTGAATTACAGTTTCCGAGCTGCTGCTAAACGCACCAGCCATGTCTGTGCTGTGAACCCGTAGAAATGCGTGTAGAAACACAGTAAACTGGATTCAGCAACCCAGATATTTTAAATGAAAATCTGACAGACGTTAACGAAAGTCATAACACTGAAAAACAGCACATAGTGTGGAAAATGTAGTTTAGCTGTCTGCTAGCTTAGCTGGAGCTAGATTCCCTATAGGTGTCCGCGGAGCCTCTAAACAAACTAAGTGCTGTTTCTAATCTGTCAGGTTGTGTATTTGTAGGGCTACACAACGTATACTCACAACTCAGTCATGGAGTTACTTGTGGACTTATAAATGTTCACTTTACAGCTACACACGTGTCAATATGATACTCCATCCCTTCTGCTGAGGGAATGACTTCCGGGTCAAATGTTTTTCAAAATAAACTTCGCCTGGCACGATTAAGAAAATACTTTTTGTTTCGCTCGTCCGGTATTCACAACCTCATCAAAAATCTCTCTGCTATCACTCCTACAACTCTCAATTCTAGATGACTGAGTTGCAGACATATAGGTTTCCCATTATTGTAATGCTCAAGGAGTATTGATAGATTTTGAAAATGGAAAGGAAAGCAGCTCAAGCTTCCTTCACTTCACTGCCCACCTGTACTAAAAGCACAAACCTCACAGACAACAGCTAGATCAATCTTACATTTATTGATTACATTTTATTTAAATAACACGTAATATTTGTCCCAGAATCTTTCACATATTTCTGAAAACGACAAAAAAAAAAAAAAAAAAGTACAGAAATCTTTGTGCCTCAGTATTAATATTGTGTTCTCTCCAGTACAGCGTGAGTCCGTGAGTCGTTTGGTACCGGGCCGCGAGAGTTGAGGCTCAGGTGTGAAATGTGTGGTTTTCAAGGTTTTTATTGGTTTTCAGCGTTATTTTGTTATTGTTTTTATCGTTAACTCTGCTTTCCTGGGTCTTTTCATGTGTGTTTTTCGGTACCGGTACTAGTTTTATTTTGTTGTATTTATCCGCGACACCTTAAAGGCCGGTCCGTGAAAATACTGTCGGGCATAAACCTGTCCGTGGCGCAAAAAAGGTTGGAGACCGCTGCTCCAGTATTTAAAGACTGGCATATACACATATACAGATACATATATACATAATTTCAGTAATTACACATTACAAAAAATTACTAAGTGAATTGTCAACTTGGTTCCAGAAGCCATAAAACAAGACAATAAAAATTTAATCAAAAAACTGTCTGGGTGGTGCGGTAGAAATTTTTGATGAATGAATGTATTTATCAAATAACTTCCACGAGTGATCGGTGAAGGAGCTGGTCCTTCCATAAGTTCTACTTGTAAAAAAGATCACCACTGCCCGGGAAATAACAAATCATAGCACATTCAGAGGATGCAGTGACAATTCAAGTATTATCAAAGTCAATGATCAAAGTCCTGATTACATCCAAACACGATAAAAACCCAAGACCACAGTGAGGCACGTAAACACTGAACCTGCAAGAGAAAAAAAATATCACATGCAATTATTTGTACCAGCTGTATCTGTAAGAAAATAAAAGATAGAAAGTGTAACTACAATCCATATTTAGCATGCACGCGTACCTGCAAGGTATTTTATAGTATCCAGTTTATGAGACTCCAACATGGTTTTCAATCCAGCCACTTCTGTGTCTATTTTCATGTTTGTCTGAGTCAAATAGCGCTCCTGTTCTGCAGTCTGTAAAAAAGGCAAGGCAATAAAGACCCATGATAAATTAAAAGCAAGCATTAAAAACCTTTAATGGAGAATAGAAGCAAATGACTGAATGCAGTGTGCTATAAACTAAATGCATGTATACAAACCATTTCCATAATCTCAGTTCGTGTTTCTAGAAGTTTCTTCTCATGCTCTGCTCTCTGAAAATACAAATGTGATTTCATGACACCTTTTGTGATACGACATTGGTAAACGCTCCTTTGCACATGTAAAACTAAATGCAGGCAATATTTGTGTAACTGTGACACCATGGCATAAAATGCAAACATAATTATAGGCAGAACTTCGTGTGGGAACAATAAAGTCGTGTAGTTTTAAATTCAGTCATTTTTTTCCAAACAATAATTGAACTGATCTCCTCAAACACGTACCAATTCTTTCACTTGGCTTTTCTCCAAATTCATATCCAACATATTGTCTGACTGCACTTTTTTCATTTCATCCTGCAACGTTGTAAAAAAGAGACACACAAAAGAAAGTCAAAACATTTTTCTAAATGGAGATTTCAACCAAGTTAAGATAAATCAAATACGATCAAGGAATGGGAAAATGCTATTCATGAAGGTTAATACATTCACAGTAATCACTTACAGCTAGTTGGACCTTGAGCTGGAGCAACTGGACCTTGAGTTTCTGGGAGAAAGGGCAAAACACTGACACAGTCAGATTAAGTGGAAGGAAATCGTTGGCACAAACACACTGTGCAGTCATCCCTGTTTCTACTACTGACAGACGAAACGATCAAGTCAAACGTGATACACTGTCACTGCAGTAAGTGATCTTTATCGAACAAATAATTTTTCTTCTTAAAACAACTCCGAAAAAAACCATTTACCTCATTTTCTGCCAGCAGAGCAGAGAACTCGCTCTTCTCAAGGATCACCATGTCCTTCTTTACAGTGGCTATTTGAGACATCACACGCTGCAACATGATCTCCTGCCAAGATCGCACAAAACGTTAGAGGGTTCACGATAAAAATAAAGTACTGTAGTGCGAGTGGAACACACTAAATTCAGAGCTTTTAGAAAAGTTATTGCCGCTGTGGCTTTGACAGGCACAGCATGTGGTGGGGATTTAATTAACACACCGATATCAAACCATAGATGGTAATGTGAAGTATATGATAGCCTTGATCTTTCACTTTATAGCCTTTACCAAGGCTCTGGGAGAGCAAAGCATTCACATACAGCAAAGAGTGGTTTAACCTATAGAAATCCTTAATTAGTGAAGATAAATGGGTGGATACCAGAAGATGTAAAATATTAAATTATAACAAGACTTAGCTCTTATTTTTGTCCTCATATGCTTTCTCTAGATCCACAAAAAAAGTGCAGCAACTCCTCCTCCTCTATACTTCTCCATCAAAACAAAGCAAACATCACACCTGTAGTGCTCTTTCTCAGCATGAAGCAGTACTGCAGTGCAAGTGGAAAACACAAACAAATTATTATTCTTCCTAACATAACTACAACAACTCGTTCCCATATCTTCATGGTATGGATCAATAACTCTATCCTTCTGTAGTTAGTAGAGCTCAACACGTGACCCTTTCATTCTCCAAAATTGTGAAACAACCTTGATATAAAGTCCACTGCCATCTTTTACTAGACATTTCCATATTTCCACAGGTTTGTCATCTGGACCTACCACTTCTCCAATCTTCATTATCTTCATAACTACACCCACCATACTAAACCTTCTCCACTTCCTGATCCATCCTCCCCTCTCTTTCATTTCCTTCTTCCATCAGCTCTCAAAGTACTCCTTCCATCTTCCATCCTGCTGCACATCCTTTCCAGCTTAACCTCTCTGCTTAGCCAAATGATACCAGTCCTTTTCTCTTACCTCAGTGTCCAGCCTCACAGTCAACTCACTCTAAGGCCTTTAGATATGAAGTCCAGGAAGAACTATTAATCATGTACAAGCGATGTCATGGTGGCTGCCACTTGGAAATCCCAGCGATATATGGATTATGGAATTTTTTTAACATTAATACCGACTTAATAAGAAGTGGAATATTATATTATATTATAGCTAGAAAAGGGGGGTTTTGAGCAATATTTTATAATAAGATGTAAATTTTAACATTAAGAAAAAAAAAGATATTCCCATATCACTATCAGTCTTAACATTGTTAAAAGAGCCAGTAAGAGTGATCACGGAGAGCTGTATCACAGATCGGCCTTATTCTCATCAGACATTCCAGTGCCATGAATTTTCAAAAGTAACTCATCACGGACACCAACATCAAAGGTTTCTAGGAACACAAGCACTGTTTGTATTTAACTACACAGGTCAGTGTTTTCATAGTACAATGACCAACCCAGCGATCCTGGTTCACTGAACTTTACAGGACCAGAGACAAAGGCTTGTGAGTGAACACACAGAGGAAACACAACCAACGCCTGCCCACAGTGCACATTATTGTACTGCTGTCTCACCTGCTGCACTTTGGTTATCATGTCACTGTAAATGACATCCATGTTAGAGTTTGTCATCTTCACCAGTACGCTGACCATGCCTTCAGACTGAGATGTAGTGAAACCTGTTCATAAGAGAAAAAAAATATGTTCTTATAAACGAAATCAATGCAACCTACTATTTTAAAAGAAATATAATGCTGTAGCTTTTTTAATCGAACAACTAACCATTTTCCTCAAGGAGTCGCACCACTGCATGCGTATCAAAGAACAGCTTCTGGCCTTCAGCCTTTGGTACGTCTGGTTTTAGATCATACTGGAAAGCTTTGACAGAGGTTTTAAGAAACACAGCATTTTAGAATGACCTCAACACTGGAATACACATAAATATTAACATCTTGTTTAGGTTGCTGTATGTAGCTTTTGATTTTTTCAGTCTATTTATTATCTGAAATGAACCGTTCCATTTGGAATCACACACACACACACACACACACACACACACACACACACACACACACACACACAATTTCCAAAAAATTTAGGATGCTGTGTAAAATGTAAATAAAAACAGAATGCAAGTGATTATATGTGTCTTATGTAAATGTACTTGATAATGATGGTGCCCAAGAACCACCCAGCACCTGGCAGAGCCCCAGATGCAGAAGATGTCCAAGCCACCCTTGTCTACCACCGCCAAGGCAGCAGGTCAGTGACCACAGTGGCCACATGCAGCAAAATCATCAAGCACCCACATCCAAGGGACAGACAGCAGCGTCCAGAAAGGAGTGACAGGGAGGGGGGATTACTCACCCTCCATCATCAAGTCCCACAGGGAACTATCCCATGTTTTTTTTTAGATGTGTTGCTGCCATAAAATGAGTTAATATTTTCCATTAAATATTGAAACATCTCGGTTTAAACATCTGATATGTTTTCTGTGTTTTCTGTGAGTAAAATATAGATGTATGCGATTTGCATACATCTATATTTTGCAGCCCTAATTAATTATTATGGAGGTAGCCAAAGTTTAGCACCATCACAGTCCACAAGTTGACTTTTATTTTGACATGCACATGGGCTACAGTAACTCAGTTACCATGACAAAATCACAGTACCTGTAGTCATTTAAAGTCTCGCGTGAGAGGGTTTTGAATAGTGATGGTAAATTCGATTCTTTTTACTGAATCGAGTTTTAATGAGTCACTCACCAAAGTGAATCGATTTTGAGTCATTTGATTCACTGTGTCAGTTGACCAGAGAGTGCAAAAAAATGTACATTTTCACTCAAACTTAATTTGTTTCTCTTTTCATGTAAATCCTACTGCTAAGATGAATGATTCTAAAAGAAAACAACTATTTTATAGAGCAAAAACATTTGTAAAATTAAGCAATTTCCTATCAAAATTGCTTAATAAACATTTATTTTATTTTATTAGTATTTTCCTTAAATGTGTTAAATATATATTTTCTCATCTAAATGTCCACTGAGCTGTGAGCCAGGGGGCGGTAATGCGCCTTAACATTGGTTGCCAACCAAGAAGAAGAAGAAGCTGTGAGCCATGAGGGAGGGGGTGAGCGAGTCCTGAGTGATTCGCTTACGATTCAGCACAGGAGGGAGGGGATGAGCGAGTCCTGAGTGATTCGCTTACGCTTACGATTCAGCACAGGAGGGAGGGGGTGAGTAGCTCAAATGTGCCGTTAGCATGTTAGCAGAGCGATGCTACTGTGAACCGAGGAGCTATTTTCTTGATGTGAGCTTATACTCAGGGTTTTTTCTTCCAGTTCAGAGCTGAAATTTTTTGTTATGATAGTGGATGTTGTGTTTTTCTCCACAATTTTAATTATAAGCTAGATACATTGCTGCTAACAGCAACAGGGATGAGTCAGTGAGTCAGTTGGGCTTGTGAATCATGATTCATGAGTCAGTAAAGTGATTTTCGAGTATTGAACGATTCGTTCATGATTCGCGCATCACTAGTTTTGAAGGACGTATGATTGTGGTCTTTGGAAGTAACGAAGCTCCAGTTCACTTGTGCACTTTATGTAAACTAGCTCATCACAGCTAAAAACTGCCATTTTTATGGGTCGTGGCGACGTTTGAAGTGGCAGACATGCAGTTAAAGACTGTTTGATACTGTAAGCGTAAGCGCTGTTTGTTACCTCTCACGGACATCCATGTCGCAGCAGACAAATGCGTAATGTTCACTCCAGGAGCTCGTCTCCATCTCAGCGGTGTCTTCTCAAACTTGCTAAATGACGGAGTGAGATTACACTGAGAACACGCTGAGGCTCTGACGAAAATCGATGTCGCTGCAGGCACAAAAATGCCAGCTCTGTCTTGAGGATCATACCACTTTTCTGGGTGGTTAAAGTTAAAAAGTTTAAGTCGAGACTGGCACTGTTTAAGCACCATCGTCAAGGAGAGTGTGTCCCACTAACAGCGAGTTTTGTTTTTTCTTTACCAAGGCTGTACTTCCGTCTGTGAAGCGCCTCAGATGATAAATTTTCACAGTCACGCCTGCATCGACCCTTTCACCTACTGTTCTCCGGACTACAATTGAAATTGACAAAGAATTGTCAAACTACCGGTCACGCCTTTCAAAATAAAACACCTCTTTTGTCATAATTGATTAGGTGCTAAGTCATAATGGGTATTTTCTGTACAATTAGTACCAGTATAGTACCCGAAAAATATAAATTAATAAGTACTAATACATCAGAATGAATATAAAGCTCCTATTGTACTATTTTTTGTTTGTATATTTGATGATTCATATTTCAACCTTTCAGATTTGATTTACTGGACTGAGAATCTGCTGCTATCTATACTGTAGTCTATACACTTTTCCTTCATGAATATGAAAATAATTTCCAGTGGCTGAGCGGTTTTGTCATAGCTTTGAACCAACCTAAGAGGAGTGAGATGGTATTGCAGCCATCTTTTAGGGACTTGTCAGCCTGCAGTAACTTATGCAAGACTTGAGAGGATTTTGGATCCAAAGTTGTGCTTTGAGGTAATAATTTACAGAACAAAAACACAACAAAACCCCAAGAAGACAGTTTCATATCAAAGTTGATACTTTTATATTGTGCAACTGTGCTAAACATCATCAGTTCTCTACAGCACTTTATATAGAAAATACATGATCACCTATATTAAGAAGCATTTGCACCTATGTCTTCTCAGTTGCAATAAGGAATAGGAAGTGCCTTTCTGGCTGCTTAGAAAAAAAAAGAAAAAAAAAGTAGAATTGCTCCTTTTGTGCATCAAAAGCTAGTCAGGAAAAAAAAATACAATGTTGGCTCCATTTTCTTTTCAAACAGTTGTTAGTAAAATAAAACAATTTTATTGTATAACAGGCAGTCATGTACTTTATTTGTTTAATGCATATGGCAGCCTTGGATTCACTGCAAGACATGGCAAACAAGTTTGCATCCAGATTAATTTCAGTATTTGTAGAACGCACTAATAAAGGTTTACAATAAAAGTCACCTTTTCATCATTGCAAAGAATATAGTTAAAAGAACACTACTGTACCTGCAAAGCTTGCCAGTGTTACAGTATTAGAGCATTTCTGAGGTTGCACCAAAAAAAATAAAAAATAAAAATTAAGGTTTTGTTCATGAGAAAAGGACAAGACAGACAGATAACGTGGCTGCCACCAAAACAACTGCAAACAGCAATAAGAGCACAAAGATCAAACTGCGCTGGCATAGAGGCTTGTGTCCAGGCTGCTCCTCGTCAATGCTGAGCAGAGCCAGGGAGGCGCTCTCGGTGCTGCTGAGCGGGTCAGCGTATTGTGGCCCCCGGGGCTCCACCATCCAGCGCAACACATTTACTTTTTTCTCCATGTCATCAATCATGTGGTCGATTTGGCTGATTTCCTGCTCCATGGTGCTCCGTTCCCGACTCTCAAGACCAGCAGGAAGGGTTGGAGGCTCCTGCTTCAAGTCTGCCAAACTGAGTGCTCGAGCTGCTACCTCACTGCCTCCTCCTGCATTACCAGAAACAAATTTTAGCTTTCCATTTTCTTTTGGCTTTTACAACTCAACAATGGATTTGTAAAATGTGGCAGAAGCTTTCCACTTCATCATGTGGGGAAACGAAATGTGAATATTTGAACAAAATCTCATGGCAATCCTCATTGCTTAAAAATTCTAATGTAATATTGTCACAGTGGCACTACAGAGGAATAAATAAATCAGCAGCATCCAACATCTGGGGGCCAATAAAACCTGAACCAGTCCATTTAAAAGTTGGGAAAACATTGTGTATCAGTGTGATGGACCAACTCAAGCACAGCTCCACACACTTTACTTATATCCATCAATGATAACAGAAAAAAAAAAAAGTAAACTGAATAAATGCAGGGCTAGAGTCCAAATATTTCACCTTTACTGATGCCACAGGACATTCACACGAGATACTCTAAAATGTTAGCACACTGGCAGATTTGAGCATATTAATTCTGATAAAATATTATCTGCAGAGTATGAAAAACAGCTAAATACTTTACATAACAATCCAAAAAGCTTTCCCCTCCATGTGTAGTCATTGAGTCTTACAAGATACAATAATAGAGTTTCCTCTGCATTCACTCTAAAACAACCTCTGAAGACTAAAGTAGTGCAGTTATTTTGCGGTTTTCTTAGTTTTGCTTAAAGTTCGATTTCAGTTGACAACACTGCTTGCATCTAGTAGCAGCAGTATGTGAAAGGCTTGCATTTACCTTGTAGGCCAGTCTGCACCAAGGAAGCAGTGTTGGCTAGGGAGAAGTTGTCACCCATGCTGAAAACCTTGCACATGTCAACATGGAGCAGTTCTAGACTGGAGGAGAAGGCCACCCAGAGGAGCTCCATCTCCTTGCGCTGGTCCTCAGGCAGGCTCTTGTCCCGCAGATGTGAGGTCAGATGCAGACGGATGGCCTCGGCCAAATTCAGGGCCTTTTCTCGCGTTTGTCTCAGCTCATCCCGCAGCTGCAAACTGTCTGTGCAGCCACCAACACATGCAGCCAAATGCCGGTAGCATGCTACCACCTGTAACAAAGATTTGACAGTGCTCGGTAATATGCAGAGCTCAGGAACTCCTAGTTAAACAAAAGTATTCCAGATAATTCCCTTCCAAGGTGGCCAAACTCCAAGTTTGCAAGAGGAATGGGCTTTTTGTTTTTCATAGTAGGGACATGCCCTTGCTGTCCATATCACCTGCTGTATTTAGACCACTAATCTTAATTAGGTATTGCACATCATTAACCTTCTGAACAGCTATTCTCTGCTAAACACTTCACCAACCCACGCACACACACATATATATACACACACACACACACACACACACACACACACACACACACACACACAAAAAAATCAGAGTACCGAAACTGAAAGAAAACTGTTTGGGGGAAAAAGCTGATCGAGCTGAACATTAGTCATCTTAACCTGCTTGAAACAGTAACTGAAGTGCAGAAAAACGTACACGTTTTGTTTTCTGATCTAAATCATACTGCAAGAATTATTTACTTTCAGCCGATACATTTAACCTTGGGGGGAGAGAGAGATTAGCAGGTGGTTTCATTCATTAAAAATATTAGAAATAATCTCATTAACATTGATCTATTTCTAGATAAGCCAAAGCAACCTCGTGTACTCTGAGTGGCCCATTTTCCTAGCATGCACTGGTGACGGTAAATCCACAGATGCGCTATACCATTCTTAAATTGTAACGTTTACTTTGAAAATCGGTTATATTAAATATTAACACCATCTTGTCATTTTCTGCGCTTCATTTGTGGCTGCTTACACCAATTAATGAGTAGAAATACTACCATCGACCTCTAGGTACAAGGAAAATAAGATGCAAACTGCCATTGTGCAAACATCCTTTATCATACTGACAAAAATAACTTTAAAATTAAACAGTTGATGTTAATGGGGAGAAAATGTCAAACATGTCCACGGCATTATCTAACGCAGGAGAGTCGCACAGACTCAGTGGACCAAGAAATTCTTTTCAGTGAGAGTGCACTTTTAGCCACAGGGGTCGGGAATAAAGGATGTTACTTTCCCCCCTTTGTGCATGCTCTGCGTGTAAAATGTTTACGTGGCGACGGCTATAGAACTGAAACCAAATGGAGTAAATTTTTTCCATACGTTTTATATTCTCATGCAATACTGAACTCTTTACATACCAAGTATTCACATGAAATTCTGGAGATTACTGCTGTGTACAAATCAACTTCCCAGCCATTTTTTCATATTCATGTCCACAAATCTATTAGACTGGTACATAAACATGCAAATACAACATAGTAGACAAATGTAAAGGAGACTAGAGTGAGGTCAGAGCTTTCTTTATGACCAGAGGAGAAGACTTGGAGCAACTTACCTTTATCACAGATTCCACCAGATCCTTCCCATCAGCCAAAGTCTTGTCTGTGCCAACTGTGCAGTCATTGCCCACTTTGTTATTTACGAGTGGCATGAGGGATGACTTGTCCAGAGTCTAGGACTCCGCCACAGCAGACAAGAGTTTGGCCCGGCTACCTTTTACTTCCCTGGCTGCCACTGCTCCTCTTCTTCCCCTGGAAGATTCTTCATTCAGTGGCTGAGGGTCGAGACAAACTCAGTCCCAAGGCAGCATGATGCACAACAATATTCCCCTGTAGCAACTATATTGCAATTACAGGTCCTAAACATGCTATGGATGCTGGAGTGGGGAAAAGTCAAAGTAATGAAGAAAAATGAAAAAAATGATAATAAAATGATGTAACTGTTAAGCAAGGTGCTAATCCTGTGATTGACCCCTTTGCACTGACGCAGGCTAAGACAGGCAGCTAATCTTATTAACCATCAACGATACCAGAGAGGAGAGCAGCTGGCTGCCTACCACAATGGCCCCTTCACTAACTGAGGATGCTGTGCTCTGTTACTTCAAGCACACCACAGTGGCTACACCTCCTTCACTCAGCTGTAAAGGTCAATATACTCCATAAATATTTTATTAGCATGTTGGAAATTTGTTGTACATTGCACTAGGTGAGAATTAAAGATTTGAATTGACTTTGTGTAAAGATAAACTAATAAGCAGATTAGAAAGCACACTGATGCACTTAAGAGTATTGAAAGTTGTAGATGATTGCTTTGTCCTATCAAGGTTCTTTGTGGTTTACGTTCCCCTGAAGGCTCTGGAAAATGGATGGCCTTATTTTGAACAGCTCCATGTACTGAATGCATGCTTAGAAGAAGCAGGTTATATTTCTATAGCAGTGGATGCAGAAGGAGCTTTTTCATGTGGAAAAAGTCTATAGACCAAATAAAAAGACAGCACATATACGGCGAGCATGAACTCACATTACACCAATGAGCTTTGAAACGAAGCCTTCGGAGATTGCTTAGATTTTCTGTGCATCTTCATATGTAAAGCATTAAGTGTACAATTTTATTTTATTAAAAAACAAAAAAAACAAACAAACTATAGCACAAGACACGCACACAAAAATACACATTTCATTCTCAGTTAAAGGGGATTTTCTTCAAATCCGAAGGAAGTTCTTAAAAACCAAATTCAATTTTCCTCAGTTGAAAGGAGGACATTTTCATGCACTAACCGGGTGAGTGCAGTTGTTGTACAACAACTGGGCTTTCAATGGTGTACAGTCTTGCCCGTTTTCCTCAGTGTTCGGGCAGACGTTCCCTTCCGTGGTGATGTGACAGCCTCCCTGATGTTGGCGAGAAGGCCTCGCTTTGTCTTTGCTTGCACAGGGGACTTCTGGGAGAGCTTGGCAACTTCTGCCTTCAGCGAGACAATCTCCTTGTCTTTTTCCACATTTTGCTGTAGGATCTCTTCCATGGATTTTTTCTTTAAAAGTAAATAATGTCATATGATATAGACAGGCATTATTTGTGCTGTGAGAAAAGTATTTGCTGCTTCTTGATTTCTCCTTTTTTAATTTTTCTGGTCATGTGTAAGAAAGTAATTGCTCCATCAATCTAATATCTGGTTGTGCCACCCTTGGTAGCAAGAACATGTTGTGTACTCCTGCTGTGCATCATCTCACCTGATCATCAGCAGTCCTCTGCAGAGCCTCAAGATCAGCTGATTTCTCCATAAAACCATCTCTGACCTTCTGTAGCGTTTCATTAAGCTCCATCAGCCTTTTCTCCAGCGACAAAATTAGCTGACGAGCAAACATCAACACACACACACATAATTACATAGCCAATCAGAGCCAGTGTTTAACTGGAAAGTTTTGTCCTTGTTACCTGTTGTTTATCCTCACACATCCGCTCTATGGCACATTTCTCTCTGTGTAGGCACCTGTATCGATCATCTCCTGTGTAGGATTTAATTTGCTGCCGTTTTAATAAATGCTGGCCTCATGATGAAAAAGCTAAAACTTAATTGCAAATGAAAATTACAACAAATGAAGAGCACGAAACTTAAAATTTAAAATCAAGGAAACCACTTTCCCATTAAACGGAAGTTTTTCTTCCCACTGTTCCCAAGTGCTTGCTCATAGAGGGTCATCTAATTATTGGGGTTTTCTCTGCATTCTTGTGGGGTCTCAACCTTTCAATATAACCCGCCTCGAGGTGACTGTTGAGATTTTGCGCTATAAAAAGAAAATTGAACGGATTCAAGTTTTGTATTTTGGAAGGGGTTCTTTTTTTAATCCTTTCGAAAATTTAAAATAGTCCTTATTCATAAATATACTTAAAACTACTAAATAATTTCATCAGTCTCTAAAACCTTGAGGCACTACATTTCTCAAAAATCATTGCATTTGTCAACTTTCTCAGTAAGTTCCTATTGTTATGTCAAGGAAGTTTAAAAAAGTAAAAAGTCTAAAAGTAAAACTCTACTCAAGTCTTGATTGTTTTACATGTCCTGTGATGGTGTACAAAGTAGAGCAACGCTGAGAAATGTGTGCCACCATCCAAAGGAAAATTCACATCTATGAAACAAGACAAAAAACCCATTAACTGGACCAACCTGCTTCTCCTGCCCATATACTCAGTGGTTCAGTCTGGCTCGATTGATCCACGGTTGGAGCAGCAGGAACTACACCGGTCCTCGAAGTCAAGGCCTCCAACTCTGACACTTTACGCCTGAGGGCCTACACAGTCAAGAAGAGTCAAAGCTGTTGTGTTCATCATCAGTATCTCAGGGTGTTGGCTACTTAAATTGTCAGCATAGCTAATGTGCAGTTTACCGATTGATCCATTGTTTGACAAATCTTTTATTCAAGATTCCCTTACATCAGTACACAAGTGAATTTAGCAAGACCCTGGGAAAAAGTTTAGACGGGATATTTCAACAGCCAACTGAAACATACCTCCACTTTCTCCTGTTCTGCAGTGAACTCATCGAGCGGTACATAGTTATCCTCCAGATTGGTCATAGCGCTGTGATAAGCATGTTCTTTAATAGCATCCTTGTACATCTCAAATGTGTTTTCCAGTTTATCCCGGTAGCTCTCCTTCAGCTCTTCGATCTGACGACTTCACAGTTGCAGAAGATAATATTGGAAAATAATCAACTTCACCTGAAATCACTACCAACAGCATACACATTTATGGAAGATCGCTGGCCCGCTTTTGCAAAACTGCACATACTTGCGGAGTTCTTCACTTTCCATCAGCTGCTGCAACATGGCGTCTCCCATTTCTTTGCGAATTTCGATTTCTTGCAGCAGGTTTTTTCTTCGCTCAGCCAGTAGCTTTGTTCTTAAGTTCTCAACCACATTCAAAAGTTCCTATAAAAAAATAAAAATAAAAGATTGAAACAAATGAACGTTAATATTAGAAATGAGACCAAAAAAATAAATAAATTTCTATTATCTTAGCCATTATCTTTCAAGAACGTGAGTATAGGCATGCTGCTGCTACTTTCAAGCTACAGTTGGGCATAGGGCATGCTTTCAGCTAAATCAGTGTTTAATGGAAGACTTTTTTTTTTTACACTCTGTGGCAACAAAGACATGTCAGCCTCCTCTTCTTCATCAAGCAGCTCATCTTCAGACAGGTAACTCTCCAGGACGTTGCTGTCAAACACCCCGTTGCTCAGCAGGGGCTTGCCATCATGACCTACGAGACGAGGAGCCAGAGATTCTAGAGCCTTATCTGGGATCACCTGCACCACCTACACAAATCAGAGCTGAGATCAGTGCTTCACGTCACCAAGGCCTTTTCTGCATTTTGAACTCGGGCTAACCTGTTTGGCAACAGCTGAGAACTTCATGACATGGAGAGTCTCGTCATAGGTGGAAGCACACTGGTTAATGTTGACAATCATGGAGGGTCTTCCCTTCCCGCAGAAGAAAGCCTGGAACAGCTTGGTGAGCTTGCTTTCTCGGAAGGGGATGCTCCTCGTTCTGATAGATGACAACATAAAAGCATGCAAAAGGTTTAAAAACACAACCATCCGACATGAAGGTTCATTTATTCCTTCGCCAACACCATAACCAACATACAATAACGCTAACGAGGACAAGATGTGACAAAAGTTACATTACTTAAAACCAAACAAAAGCTTTAGCATTTTGTGTCAACACTCATGTTTGCTCTGGTGGCGATAGTCTCACTGTACCTGTCAGGCCCACTGTTGCGGAGCGCAGTGATACACTTCCCCAAAATAAGCAGGGAATTATTAATGTTACCCGCCTCCTTAAGCCTCTCTCCAAAAGTCTTTGTTTTGTTGCATCTTTCTGAGCCGGCCAGATCACAGAGAGAGAACCTGCGAGAGAAAAAACACAAACAGAAGAATCATAGTTTCACAATTTATGTTTACAAAAAAAGGTGGACATGTTAGTGCCTCAGTCCCAGCAATGAATCAGAGTTCTCACCTAATAACTCCCGCTGAAGGCCCCAAAACATTCCCTTAGGGAAACTCATTTCATGTGATCCATTTTATTTTCCTGTACTTGAAGAACCATTTTAGTTTAAGATTTAAAACATGATCCCAAAAACCACTATGAGAAGCACTTCTATAGCAAAGATGCAAGATAAATATCACGTTGACACAATATTCCATTTTTTACTGCACTATTATTTTCGATACTATAAGTATTGGATACCATTCCCAAAGACTTCATTCTGTTCATCTGGACGTAACGTTTTTAGTGGGAGTCACTGATCCAAGTGACTTCTTCAGTCTCAGCTGACTGCAATCTTATAAACAATACATTTGCACAATAGCTGAAGCGGCCTAGCCCACTATTGTTTAAAGTCAACTCTTTGGGATTTACTTACCTGGATGATTGAGCATGTATCAAGATATCAGACACTCTGTCCAAGTGCAAAACTTGTGTTTTTCACTGTACTAGATTACATTTTTGATTTAAATATGATCTTCATTAGCTTTACTGCAGCAATAATGCATTTTAGTACTTTTAGGAGGACAACCACCGTTTTAAATATTGATGAACTGAGATGGAACCATGATTGTTAGTAGGGATTTTTAGCATGATTTTCAACTTGAGAAATTAGTTGCAAAAAATATTATTAAGTACACTTTACATTTATTGATTGCCATTTTAGATTGCTAGTATGCTTCATTTGCCTTAAAATTTTTTTCCTATTTAGCATTACACATTTGTTTAATTTTGAGTCAATTATTTTTCATCTTTATATTAAATTGCTTATTGTCTTTTTAATCCCCCCCCCCCATCTTTTATCTCAGTCACGGACGGACGGACTTTTGCAATGTTACAAAATCCTTTACAATACACAAGTTTTCTGAGCAGGTTAAAGTTAACTTCTACTTTCATATACTTACTCAGAGACCCTTTCAGCTGTCCCTCCATTGATCCTCAGTATCTTCATTGTAAATATGCTGTGGCTGTAAGGAAAGCCTGTGTGAGTTTTGAACAGGTTGTTTAACACCACATCCATGATAAACTTAACTGGTTTTACCTTCGGCTAGATGAGTGGTTCATCTTTGTGGCTGCAGCACTTCTGTTTTTATTCCCAAAGTGTAGCAGCTTGGAGGCTTCACCCAGGTTATGAATGTTGATCCAAATGAGGTCTGAAATCAAAACAAATGTTTTTCCTTTAATCATTAATGCTAACATTCACCTGATAATTTAAGAACATAAGCCAAGGTCATTTCCACACCTTTAACATAAGCATTTCCAGCTCCATCATCGCATACACGGAGACAGGCACGTTTCTTGGATTTGGAGCACAAAGATGGCTGGAGAAGATCGTACACATACTCATTGTAGATTTCAAAGAAAGCCACCCATAAGGCAAACTGGCTGTCATTTGCTTCTGCCTGGTTGCTGGTCAGCACTAAAGTAGGAGCACAGAAGACCGTAAATATAGAAATAATAAGAAGCCACAACAATAATCACTATTCTAATGAGTAGTACCCGTTTGAGTTGAAGATGCAGAAGAGGATGAAAGACGGCTGGGCGAACAAGACTCTAGACAACCACTGCCTCTGAGAGAATCACACTCCTAGACCAGATGAGAGACATACGAATGTAAACAGCACTACACTCAAGTGCTTTATTACCATCTTCTCTTTTCTGGAATACATTTGACAGAACTGAGTCCTTACTTCTTTAAATGAAGCAAAAATGGCAGCTTTAGTGATTCTTTCCTGCTTTACTTGGTGAAAATCCAGAGACTGCACACCATTCCTGAGGTAGGGCTTCAGGTCCATTCCCGGATACTGATGTTCTCCAATGTACTGAAAAGTGCTTTCCAGCACTCGAGGCAGTATCCCTGGCTCTTTTGGAGATCCTGCAGGACTTCAAAACATTACCAGAAGAACTTTGCACGACTTGAACTTCACAAGGATATTGTGCTTCTGTCCGTACCTTGGATTGTGAAGGTTTTCCCAGCATTGGTTACACCATAGCTGAATATCAGTGCGTTCTTCCCATCCAAGAAATCACTCATTTGGCTTTTGACTGTGTTCTCAAACAGCTCAGCCTGTGTTGTGTCAGGCCCAAAAATCTAAAAGGCAACAGAAGATAAAAAGTCGACAATTACTGACATAGAAAGGGGGGAGAAAATGGGTCATTTCAAATGTTACTGACCTGTGAAAAATAAAATTTGTGGAGTGACATGCCAATTCCTTTCTCACGGCTCTTGATGGTGGCAGAACCTTTTGGTGCATTCAGTGTCACCGTCTGGCTGTTTTCAATCACAACACAAGCCTGAGAGATGGGAAAACAAAGTGTTTAACAGTCTTTGTAAATCAAACTATCTCATAACAGGTGAAAGTCAGAACTGGCATGGGCACTATGTTGGCGCAAAAGTGGCAACTGTGTCTTAAATCAGGTGCTCTTTCCATTAGTTTTATTTTGAATGCAAGACAACTGCTCTTAAATAGTATTAGGCTACAAGATCATCTAATCCAAGGGGGGGGGGGGGGACCTCTTGTGTTTTAATACGAAATGTTCCAGTCCCTTATATTCATGGAAATGTGCAGATGAGCTACAACACTTGCAGAAGAAAGCAGAGACGATACACACTGTTTTTTCCTTATTGGTCATCCCAGCATGTTCGAGTGTACCTGATCCTCATTGTTAGAGAGCTCCTCTTTAGAGAAAGGCCTCACTCTGAGATAAACGCTCATTGTCTGCTGTTCAGCTGCACTGGGTGCATCAGTCTAACAACAGAAAAAGACAAATCAAAGCAGAGGAGCTGAGTTTAAACCGTTTCTTCCAGTCCCTCCATTCAGTTACTGGGACAGACACCCCAAATAAGCGAAGAATTGGCAGTAATGGTTATGCATTAAAAACACAAACAAACACAAATAAACATTACCTGTTGCAGGGACGTGTTGCCGGGAGGAAGACAAGTCAAGTCCATGTCAACAGACTGCATACAAACACTGTTTTCCTGAATCATTTCACTAACTTTACTCATCTTCAAGTAAATTAGCTCAAACAACAACTACAAAAAGAAGTAATAGTTATTTGTTAAATTCATACATGAGATTGAGTGTAAGATATCAGCACTAAAGCTGATTTAACAGTCACTGACTACTGTAGGTTTGAAATAACTTAACAAGAGCCAGTAGACCTGCTGGTTTTCCTCCACTGAGAATCAAGGGAAAGCTTCTAATCACTGCTAATTGGAAGCAGATGTGAGTTCAAGCAAGTCATCAATATGTCCAACCAGCTTGGAGTGCCCTGTGTGTCAGATTCTCATTTGATGAATGTGTCACTGTACAAAAAGGTGACATATTGAAAAAGTTAACAAGCAAGCAAACAAGCAAGTAAGACAAAATAGAACCGTTTTAGTTTTTGAGGATTCTTCCAAACATAGATTTCCTTATTGGTTTGATTTGATTATGATGTTGGAGAGCGCAGTCTAACCCACCAGTGTTCACTGTGGTTTAGATCTGCAGCCAGTTTCACAAGCACAGTCTGTAGGATTAAACCAATCTTATTTTTGCTCAGGTTTACGCAAAATAAACTTAAAAATTAAGCCACCTTCACTTTGGAGTTTAGTTGTCTGGGACAAAACGAAATTACAAACAGAGATTAAGAATAACCCAAATACTATAACATAATTAGGGTTTGGTGGGAGATATGTAAGAGGTTGGATAGAGAAGACGGCACATTATTTTTAACCCCTTTATTGAGAAACTGCAGTCTGTTTGATATGTGGCGTAACAACAGGTTACAAATGATCAGCGACCTTGATCAAAACATCACATTGGTGAACTTTCAACAATTGAAGTCACATTTTAACTTTTCTTCAGAACATTTTTTTTTAGCTTTCTCCAGGTTCATAACTGTGTTGTCACAATTTTTAGAAACAGCTATATATGATGACCTGGAGACATTTCTTATGAAGGAAACATACAGAACTCATTTTACTTCTGCTTTTTATTCATCACTCTATGCTCACAGTAGCAGTACATTGAGTGCTATTGAAAAATGGGAGGCAGATCTTAATAATCAATATACTGAGGAGGAATCGAAAGGAACTATTAGCATAGTTAGGTTTACTTTCACTTGCAACCGCCAGGGAGAAACCCAGTACAAAATTTTGCACTGCCTATATATAGGCCCTAATGCAGAGGTAGGGAACTCCAGGCCTTGAGAGCCGGTGTCCTGGAGGTTTTAGACCTCACCCTGGGTCAACACACCTGAATCAAATGATTAGTTCATTACCAGGTCTCTGGAGAACTTCAAGGGCTGCATGCTTGAAGTACGCGCACTACGCGTACTACGTACGGTGCGTACTATGTGTACGAGAAGTGCGGAAGTGAGAGGCTTGTGAAATGGGACGGTATACGCTTTGTCGCGCTGTTCAGTTTGTCTAGCAACCATGATACTAACGCGAGACACGTTACATACAGCATTGTTTGACAGAAATGAAGGAGAAAAATTCATTTTTGTCATGACATCACTTTGATTAGTTGAGTATCTGAGGCGCTATGAATTGTGGGATATATGGGACCACGAAGCGTGCACTGGACCACGCTTGATATTTGGGGAAATCGATGGCGCATTTGGAGTATGCATTTTTTTTTTAAATGAACTTTATTTAGAACAATAATAATGACAATCTCAAAGAGACAAGCCACATATTGAATCAATCAGAACAGAATCACACCTCCTGTACACCACAATGAAATCGACAATAACTGAAAGTAAACATACATATATACACATACACATATATATACACACACACACATATATATATTATGCATATACACATGCATACGTACACATCTATATACACACATCTACATAATAATAATATAAAAGATGAATAACCAATACAAAAATAAATAACAATAAAAAAAGAATGAGAAAAAAAAGAAAAACAAGGAACAGAAATAAACGAGACAAGGGGGATCATAAAATCTCTAAAAGTGAGGTTCCATAAACAAGACACATAACTTAAATAAGGGGCTAAGAAAAATCAAACTCTTCTAAAAATCTATGCAATTTGATTGCTTGGGGCTTATTTATTAGCTTAAGAGATTTACGGAACAGGGAGAGTTCGTTTTTAAGAGCAGGCCATGAAGGGGGGGATTTAGCATATCGGCATTTATGTATGTAATACTTTGTTATAGGAGTATGCATTTGAAGTACACTTCAAATTGGGACAGCCGTCGTCGCGTGGCGGTGACGTAACCGCACTTAAAATGCCTACGTCAAGCCTGCAGACTCTGAATTGGGACACAGCCAGCCACAGAGAAACACAGGTGGGGAACACAGCTGGGAGTAATCAACACAATGAGACAGAGGTAAAACTGAACACACTCACATGAGACGCAGACCTTCACAATAAAACAGGAAACAAGA